CTCAGTGTGCTGAGTGGATGGCAATAGGTCGATCAATGTGAAAGATTCATCTGGAGCAGGCTCAGTCAGCTGAGTGGATGGCAATAGATCTAGGTCGATCAATGTGGAAGCTTCGCCTGGAGCAGGCTCAGTCAGCTGAGGGCGTGAGACTGGCTCCCGTCGAGGGGATGGAGGTTGCAGTTGAGCTGAACCAGGTCCTTCCTGAGCTGCTGCGACAGCCTGTCCGTCACATATTTGTTGACAGCAGCTCGGTCTGTCAGGGTCGACGAGATGGCTTTCTGAAAGGCAGCAAAGATCAGTTGCTGCTCGACTTTGTTGTAAAGAGAGTAGGCAGAGGACAGATGATGCAGAGAACTTGAAATTTGTGCTGTGTAGTCCTCTGCCTTTCCTCCTGACCTGACAACCCTTGAACCTGGATTGTGAGTGACTTGCGGGTGAATGCGGTCACCCACAGAAATGCACACTTCATTCACATGTTCACCTTTCAGAGATGTCGCATCCCATGACAGAGTAGCCACTTTTGATCTGTACAGCTCCTCTGCAACCTGCAAGTCTGATATGGCCCCCATCTCATATGCCATTTGGGCAGACATAGATGAGGCAGGGACGTTGCTGACTGTCTGCCCCGTGAGCTCGCTTACGACGTAAGAGATGATAGGCCCAGCCTTCTCGGTGGATACTAGACTGGCCAAGCTGGTGTAGATGCACTTACGGATCTGCGTGGTGTACGTCTTGCCGAGAACAGACGAGATATTGCCCTTGTTTTTTGCTCTGCTGTGCCTCGAGCTCAGTTCTCAACTCGTCGAGATCTCCTTCAAGATTGGAGATGTACTGGCTGAGGTCAGCAGAGCGTAGTCTCTCTGACCGAAGAGAGAGTCTTGTCTGATCCAGCTGACGGGCCACCTGCTTGGTCTTCCTCTTCTGTGCCGACAGCATTGCATGCCGATCAACAGACAAATCTGTCTGGAGGGTAGACCCCTGTGCCTTAAGTTTTTTGTTCTCTGCACGAAACAACCGCAAATTGCCGACAACACCCGCAAAAGTAATAACCGATGCATAAAAATCACCGGCTGCTACCGACCGCCGTGACCCAGTTCTCGCGCACGGCTATCGAAATGCCTACCATTGTGACGGGTGCAAGAGTATATTGTCCAATGCCTGTCTGTTGATTTGCCCCTGCAATTCCCGCCACATGAATTCCTCTAGGTTGGAATCTATTGTCGTTGATGTAGTACCATTCATCTGCTTGAACCGACGCTTGCACTGATTCTACAAGTTTTCAGTATGATTCGTGCATGCACCCGTAACTGGATCGACGAAGTTAATGCATGCACGACCACCTGATGCTGGTGCGGAGGGTTTACCGGCAAGGCCACAATTCCATTGTATGCTGCCCACGCGTCACTGTGTATGATGGAACCAGGGGCAATGTTATCCCGGATTATTGGAAGAAGAGTCGCAGCAGTTCTGTCAGGAACAAGTAGTGTGAACGACTGTCTAGTTGCCCTGCAGATTCCTCCAAATACCCACCGGTCTGGAACTCGGTGGCCTCTGTTGTACTTTCTTTTTGCCACGACACTTTCGTCGATTTCCACGGCTTGTCCAGGGCCTCCTGTCTGGTATGGGTTTTTAACCAACCAGTTGCTACAGATGTCCCTAAAGTACTGGAGGAACCACTGTGCTACAGTGACAGGACTGACTCCAACAAAATCACTTGTAATTGTAACACAAAGTGGTGTTTTGTAGGCCCAAAAATACAACTGCACAAGGACTTTCAAAGAAAGATTTGAGTTTGCCCAGTAAGAATCTCTCCTCAATGAAATCACAACACTTTTATAACTGGGGTAACGAAAAACTTTGTCCTCACCTCGACCAGATTTGACAAGGGTCATCAAACGCCCACAAGTGACACTATTGGGGGGGGGGGGGGGGGTTAGATCTTAAAACATTATGGTGCTGAAGAAAAGTTATAGCATCATCATTTGACGTCCAATTTCAAAAAGTACATTAATGGACGGCTGTCTAGCAGCAGCCATGGGACGCAATAAAGCAGTTAAAAATATAAGATCAAGAGATCAACATCTGGAATAGAAAATTAAATACAAACTTTTCTCAAAATCTCACAGGTGATGAAAAAACACATTGGAATGATCATTATTGGGAGTAACCAGGGGTCAGGGCAGATCTGCACGTTCTGTAGTGAAGCCCGTCTATATTCTGAATGATGTCACTTTCTGATACATCTAGCTGTTTTTATAACAAGTCACGTGATGGGTTTTCCATCCTAAAATTTTTTTCGACTTTTCTCGTTGTTCCGGACACTTTTCTAAGTTTCTCTTTGGTCCATTCACTTCTTCAGCAGACCGTACACCTCTCAGTCATGCACTTCAGACTCGTAACTTTTAATCAAAAGTCTTAACCCACGTTATTTTCATATAAAAGATGTAGCAATTTTTCCACAGGAAGTATTTTTAGAGCATCTCCCCTACCCCCCCCCATATTCTTAACACACATTATTTTCATATTTAAAAGATGTTTAATAGCAATTTTTCCACAGGAAGTATTTTTAAAGCCTCCCTCTCCCTAGAAAATCCTCCCCCCACACACACTCACCCCAAAAATCAGACTCACGCACACACACACACACATACTCACCCTCATGTATCATGCTTACATTCTCTAAAGCACATATGTATACATCTAATTGACAATGGATCTTTTTAAACACACACCACACGCACACACACACACACACACACACACACACACACACACTCCATCCGACTCCCCCTTTCCGTGCTCGGAGCCATAGTAGCATCTTTGGGGCTGATGGGGCGGGAATGTCAGATCGTGGAAGCTGCCTCTTCCCTGCAAAATAAATCAAACAACAAAATTGTCTTATTCACTTGAAATGTATTTTAGTACTGACTGGCAGCACCATCGCTCCAAATGGTGAGCTTTTTTATTGTCAGCTTCTTCCTGAGCAGCTCCAGTGACCGTCTGGTAAATTCCTGGACAGCTTGATGGTCATTCGAGTGATGTCGTCACTCAGTAAAATCAAGCTGTCCCTCACTAGTGTCGCCAGCCCTTTAAAGGGCTACAACCGGGTGTATTGTCACTTACTGTTTGCTAAAATGAGCAGACTTAATCTCAGCTGTGTACGCAGCCTTCCGGTTCTCGCCAAAATCCTGGACCATGACGACTTCTCCTGTGAAACAAAAGAGTAATTGCAAAAGTAATGAGTATAAAAAAATAAGATTTTTGTAGTATATAACATACAAAAACATGTTGATATTTTACCTTCTTCCGGATTCTGGCGGCACACTTTAAACTGGTGGTATTGCCAGTAAGCCGTAAATAGGTGCTCCAGGAAGCTTTGGCCCTTTGTTGGCTCCAGCAGGTCTTTTTCAAGGTCCTTGAGCAGATCCCTGACGAGATATAAAATGTTTACTTGTAAGAGAGGCAAAAGGTATAGGTATAAAATTGCTTTGTATAATGTCAATCTTGATCGATGAATTACCTCACAGAGTCCTCCTTCTGGCATGGCTCCATCTTCCCTAGTTCATTTCTCTGCCAACGCTGCCACTTCACAGTAGATGTGGCAGACATTATGTCCCGGCAGAAGACTGAAAGGGCACATGGGGTTGGAACAGTCTGCACATTTTCCCGAAGAGGCAGAGAAAGGTAATGGTGCTCGCTAGTGATTTCAATATCAACATAATAAATGGAAAGAAAAGAAAACTGATTCACGTACGTGTCACACAGTCCATCCTCGGGAATTTCCCATCAAATGGACAGCAAAGGAAAGACAGCATGTCCTTCTCCTGTGGCAATTGGCCAGAGGCACCCAGCAATTTATTCAGGACCTGGATCGCCAATCTGAAATGAAATCAACAACTATTTAGTCTTGTGACACTGAAGCCCTAAGGAGATAAACCAAATTAAATATTGAAACATGTGAAAGTAGTCATGAACATTGTTAACAAGATGTATGTATTAAAAAAATAAGCACCTAACATTTGTGCAGTAAATGCACAAACAGGCCTCAACGGGGACGCTGCCTATCAGCCTCACGTTCCTTGGCCTCAGGCACCCATTCCTTCCTAGGCGAAAAGGGCGAAGTCGCGCATTGCCTCCAACTGCTTGAGGGTGAAGGCGTTTTCTTGCTCTGGGGCTGTACTGTGATCGGGACTTGGCGCTGAGGTCTGGACTCCTCTGCTTGATGGTGCTGGAGTCGTTGGCTCCAGACTTGGAGGTGGGCTTGAAATTTCCTGAGGTGGAATTTCCAGAAGTGATTCAAGCGGGGGGAGTACTCAAGGAACGATATCCAAATCAAGGTCGTCGTAGAAAGGGGATGATGGCGCTGGCTCATTCTCTCTTTCCTCAGGCCATGTCAGAGGTGCCACGGAGGGGGCACAGACAGGGGGCTGCCACGTAGAAGGTGCCACGGAGGGGGCACAGACGGAGGGCTGCGATGCAGAAGGTGCCACGGAGGTGTCACACGCGCACACGCACACACACACACACACACACTTTCATTCTGTCACTGTAAGTGGCCATGAAACTATTGATGTGGGCTACACGACGTCGCACACAAACGGGACAAATGGGAAGTCCTTCAGCTCATCAGCATCAAGACCAGAAGCTGATTTGGTGCAACGTGTGTGCCACCTAGAATCGCAAGTTTCACTAGCCTCCTACAGTTCAAACTCTCCTCCCCTCCCACGACATCCTCCACACTCATCTTCACGCACATCCTCCACACTAATCTTCACGCACATCCTCCATACTCTCCAAATCATCCTCGTCAGCCTCTCTCAACGTTTGCTTCGTCTCTTTCATCAGACATCCATCATCATCTTCATCACTTTCACTGTGCTTTCTCTTCCTTTGAGCCTCCTTTTTTATCTTCTTCATCTCAGCCTGGTCTTTCCTCTCGTCTTTTACGTTCCATCTCAGCTGCCTTCCTCTGATTTTGTAACCTTTGCCATCTCCCTTTCTCATCTCTTTTTCTTAAGATCCTCTCTCTTCTCTCTTGCCTTATCTTCTCTTGTCGTCTTCCTCGCCAACTTCTCCTTTTCCTCTTTCTGTTTTCCATGTTCTTTAAGCTTAATTGCTTCTCTGTGCTCTGCACCACTAAGCACGTAGTGCATTGTCGGTGTTAACTTTTTCTTCTTCTGTTTTCCCTTTCCTGTGAATCTTGGCACTCTGAGTGTGTCATCGAGGCTCAGTGGTTCTCTGGATGGGGTTTCGAGGCTTTCTTTCTGGAATGAGGCTTTCAAGGAGGCTGCCAGGCTCTTGAATTTTGAGAAGCCCTCATGATTTTCCATAGCATCCTTTGAGAGGGCCTGAATACATCGCAGAAAACCGTTCCTACCAAGCTCGTCAGTCACATGTAGGGTAAAGTCTTTCATTGCCTCCAGCTGCTTTGCTGTGTAGGTGCTTTCCTCATGGTGGCTTGACGTTGATGTAGGATTCGGGGGCTGGCTCGCAGGGGTAGTGAGCTGGCTCGCAGGTCTAGGAGGCTGACTCGCAGGGCTAGGAGGTCGGCTCGCAGGGCTCTGGGGTGCCGGATCGCAGGGCTGAGGAGGCCGAATCGCGGGTGTTGGTTGGTTGGACGCAGGCTCCTCCTCATAGTTCCATGGTAGGTCAAAGGGAACCTGCGGCTCAGGTCCTTCATCATCTGACTCGATGTACTCGAAGGAAGCTGGTGGCTCAGGTTGAGCAGCTGGTGGTTCGTCCTCTGGTTGAGCAACTGGTGGCAAAAGCTGAGTTGGTGGCTGATCACTGTTCCCAGAGGGCACATCTCTATATACCCGGCAAGGGTTCATCTTCTTGCTCTCCAGGACTCTCTGGGGGCTAAAAGGGAAAATACCTGCTGCCCTGTAGCTGGACTCTGCATTTTCTGTTGTTGCACACTTCTGCCAGACAGGCTGAAAAACCTTGGCAAAGGTGTCCAGCCAAACTGCATCTCCAGTCTCAGCGATGTGCCTTCTGCTTGCATCAGACCACGGCAGACTTCACGGAGCCAAAGAATGCCTGATGTTAGGTAGGGCTGCATGAGATGGGAGGCATGTGCCAGGAGACAATACAATATGATGCCGTTGGCCTCGCAGATCTCTGAAGTTTCAAACAGCGAGGTATGGCTGATGTGGCCATCAACAAGGAGTAGCAAGGGCTTCTTAATGTGCATGGCCTTGGGGATGAACGTGTCTCTCAGCCATGCGAAGAAAATTGCTGCGGTTATCCAACCATTGTCCAATACCTGCCAGAATATAGCATGTTGCTTGTAGTGCAGAATTCGGATGAATCTGGTTTGTAAAATCAAACATGATGTTTATCAAGAAGAACTTAATGCATATGGATTCATGGTGTAATTCATGTCAAACATTGTACTGTTAAATTAAGATAGAAATTTTAGGTTTCTCTCTCTCTGTGGGCTGGAAAAGCAAAGAATGGTGGATACCGTAAGAGGCGGCAAAATGTGCCTGTCCTAGGTGTTCCTGGAGTTGTTGCTCTCTCCATATAGGGGCAGCATCTTGTCGTTCTTTGCTTTGTTTTCAGTCCAGCTGTCTAGATCTATTTTTATCCCTACTTTCTAACCTCAAACTTACCCGCAACAAAGCGTCGGGGTAAACCGTTGTGTAGATTTTTCCACTGAATCCTCTTGTACGGGTAGATGAGCAGGGGTGGCAAGTAAAAGCCTGCGGCATTCATTGTTGCTAGCAGCACCACCTGTGTCTTGGTGTTTGAGGTGACGTTGTAGACATTCTACAGGGCTGCCAACCATTCCGATTTTGTAATTATTACGATTTTTTAGACTCATTTTGAAATTCCTATCGTAAGGCGATTTGTTACGATTTTTACCGTCAGCAGATTTGTAACAATAAAAAATTGTTGGGGCTCTTTAAATTTTTTTTACAAGTCTTAGTGCAGACCTGTAAATCGTCCGCCAATAGTCGGAAAACCGCCAATCTCTAAAAAAAGGAACAGCTGGCTCACTTCACTTTATATCCTTCATCATTCTTATTACTCACCTCAAACTTGGAATCCCATTCCGCCTCCAGTGTCTCTACGGTTGCTGAAGTGTTTTTGAAAATTGCGTCTGCCTCAGATCGTAGTTGATCAAGGCCCTCAGTGATGTTCTCCATCGTGTGGTTCAGGACCTGTACAGTGACATCTCTCTTAAAGGTCATGAACCACGGTAGACTTTTCTGTCACATGACATTCTCCATACAAACAAAGCTGATCACATCACAACTCTTTCAAGCCAACAGTATTGCTATTTGCAAATTAAGCCATATCAGGCTTTTTATGTTATAGAGACTTTGTAAGAAACTGAAAACACAAACGCAGATTTTTTTCCAAAGAAAGGATCAGTCCTCCTCCTCATCCATCTCCTTCTGATCTTCTTACTTTTCTTCCTCTTTCTCCTTCTAATCCTCCTCCTCTTCCTTCACTTCCATGGCCGGTGATTCCAATCAGGGCCATGGTTAGTGTAGTCCAGTATGATACTGAGCTAACAGTGCGCCCGGCCTGTGAGGGAAATGTGTTCAAACACTCCAAAGAAAGGATCAGTCCTCCTCCTCCCTATTTCTTTCTGATTTTCCTACTCTTTTTTCCTCTACCTTCACTTCCACCTTATAATCCCCCTACTTCTTTTTCTTGTAGTTTAAGTTATTATTATTATTATTTATTATTAACAATTTTGCATTATTTTTATATCCTTCATCATTCTTATTACTCACCTCAAACTTGGAATCCCATTCCGCCTCCAGTGTCTCTACGGTTGCTGAAGTGTTTTTGAAAATTGCGTCTGCCTCAGATCGTAGTTGATCAAGTCCCTCAGTGATGTTCTCCATCGTGTGGTTCAGGACCTGTACAGTGACATCTCTCTTAAAGGTCATGAACCACGGTAGACTTTTCTGTCACATGACATTCTCCATACAAACAAAGCTGATCACATCACAACTCTTTCAAGCCAACAGTATTGCTATTTGCAAATTAAGCCATATCAGGCTTTTTATGTTATAGAGACTTTGTAAGAAATTGAAAACACAAACGCAGATTTTTTTCCAAAGAAAGGATCAGTCCTCCTCCTCATCCATCTCCTTCTGATCTTCCTACTTTTCTTCCTCTTTCTCCTTCTAATCCTCCTCCTCTTCCTTCACTTCCAGCTTATAATCCTTCTACTTCTTTGCTTGTTATTATTATTATTATTTATTATAAAATTTTAAAAATTATTTTTATATCCTTCATCGTTCTTATTACTCACCTCAAACTTGGAATCCCATCCCGCATACAGCGTCTCTACGGTTGCTGAAGTGTTTTAGAAAATTCCTTCTGTCTCTGATCGTAGTTGATCAAGTCCCTCAGTGATGTTCTCCATCGTGTGGCTCAGGACCTGTACAGTGACATCACTCTTAAAGGTCATGAACCACGGTAGACTTTTCTGCCTCATGACATTCTCCCTACAAACAAAGCTGATCACATCACAACTCTTTCAAACCAACGGTATCGCTATTTGCATATTAAGCCATGCTAGGCTTTTTATGTAAAACAGAGACTATGAAAACACAAACTCAGATATTTTTCCAACTAGCATAATAACATGGTAGTCACAAAATTTGCCTAACATTTCCGTTTGTAAAAATTCTGTTTCAATGTTTTCATCCTGGCTTATTTTCTCTGAGGGTATGATAAGAATCTTTTGTAAAAGTCTAGCACCTCTTTCAAATCTGCATCTAATTTTTAAAGACAAGATCTCCCAATCTAACATACAATATCGCGTAGGATTTTGCCAAGTGAAAGTAGAGAGTGTAAAAATCCCCAAACAAGTCAGTTCAACAATGTCTGGCCGGTGATTCCAACCAGGGCCATGGTTAGTGTAGTCCACCATGACACCAACTGAGCTAACAGTGCGCCCGGCCTGTGAGGGAAATGTGTTCAAACACTCCAAAGAAAGGATCAGTCCTCCTCCTCCCTATTTCTTTCTGATTTTCCTTCTCTTTTTCCTCTACCTTCACTTCTACCTTATAATCCTCCTACTTCTTTTTCTTGTAGTTATTATTATATTTATTTATTATTAAAAAATTTGCATTATTTTTATATTCTTAATCATTTTTATTACTCACCTCAAACTTGGAATCCCATCCCGCCTCCAGTGTCTCTACGGTCGCCGAAGTGTTTTCGAAAATTCCTTCTGTCTCTGATCGTAGTTGATCAAGTCCCTCAGTGATGTTCTCCATCGTGTGGTTCAGGACCTGTACAGTGACATCACTCTTAAAGGTCATGAACCACGGTAGACTTTTCTGTCGCATGACATTCTCATTACAGACAAAGCTGATCACATCACCACTCTTTCAAACCAACGCTGTTGCTATTTGCAAATATAGCTTGTTTTTGTTATTATTATTATTTATCATAAAATTTTAAAAACTTTTTATATCCTTCATCATTCTTATTACTCACCTCAAACTTGGACTCCCATCCCGCCTACAGCGTCTCTACGGTTGCCGAAGTGTTTTTGAAAATTCCGTCTGTCTCTGATCGTAGTTGATCAAGTTCCTCGGTGATGTTCTCCATCGTGTGGCTCAGGACCTGTACAGTGACATCACTCTTAAAGGTCATGAACCACGGTAGACTTTTCTGTCACATGACATTCTCCCTACAAACAAAGCTAATCACATCACAACTCTTTCAAACCAACGGTATTGCTATTTGCAAATTAAGCCATATCAGGCTTTTTATGTAAAACAGAGACTATGAAAACACAAACTCAGATATTTTTCCAACTAGCATAATAACATGGTAGTCACAAAATTTGCCTAACATTTCCATTTGTAAAATTTCTGTTTCAATGTTTTCATCCTGGCTTATTTTCTCTGAGGGTATGATAAGAATCTTTAGTAAAAGTCCAGCACCTCTTTCAAAACTACGTCTAATTTTTAAAGACAAGATCTCCCAATCTAACTTACATCTACAGTAAGATTTTGCCCCGGCGAAAGTAGAGCGAGTAAAAGTCCCCAAACAAGTCAGTTCAACAATGTCTGGCCGGTGATTACAACCAGGGCCATGGTTAGTGTAGTCCAGTATGATGTGCAGTAAAGGAAGCCCCCCATCTTGATCTCTCCCCACAGTCCCCGAACCACCATTTTTCTCTCAACATGAACGTCTTGAAGGGTTGGGGAAACTCAGTTTGCTGTTGCCGATGGAAGAACGCCATTCTTCAACAGTAGCGACCTATGAGCCCACTTAAATTGTGCTGGTGTTGGATTATTGTTCCAACTATTCTGCCTCCTGATGCAGCTGAAAAAGGTCTCAAAATGACCCTGAGAGAGCAGATAAGTCGTAAAGTAATCATACTTCTTCCCTACACTGTTGCGAGTGCAGTAAAACCCTTACTAAACTAAACTTAACTCTTATTAAACTAAACTAAACTCACCCCTACACTCAAGTGGCGACGTGGGGAACAGGGAATGAAGGCAAATGTGGGACTGAATATTTTAATTCCAGAATAGTGATTTCTTCAGTCCCATCGTTTCCTCCTGAAGTTATGGCTCTGTGCCAATATTTGCCTCACAGAAGCTGTCTTTGGCCTTGTTACTTGTACTACTATTTCACCATTTTTCTCTCCTAACTTGTCAAAGACAAAATATAGTAGGTCTCTTGCAATTTGAATGACAACTTGGCGTTGGCGTACCTTGAAAGTTGAAGGCGCTGCAATGAACCCTGTTTTACTACCAAACGCATTTGAGATGCCTTTCCAACATTGGCAGTCTCCCATTCCTTCCGTTCGTTGACATGTGTCTGAGGACAGGTGAACTCATGAAAAAGTCCATCTATTTTTTAAAAAAATTTTGGCAAAGCGGACACTTTCTTTCTATGCACTAAAGTTATCAAAGGTGTCCCTGTCCCATTTACTATAAAGAGTGGCACTGATAGATCTGTAAGGCCACAGATTGCACACTCTTTTTTTGCCAGTCTTTTGGCCTGCAACTTCAGCCCCATTTGTGATGGGCATTTATAAGTTTTTTCCTCCACCGCTGACCTCATGTGCAGCAAAACTAGAGGTCCCCCTTCCCACAGAGTGGGTGCCTCGTTTACAGTTGAGTGTGACCCATATGAAGAAGGAAAAGTGTGTGTGTTTGTATTTGAGTGTGTGTGTGTGTAGAAATGTATACTAGAATGTGTGCATGACCTTGTGCAGTTGCGAGCACCGTAAAACCCTTACTAAACTAAGAGTGTATGCGCCCATGTATGTAATGTATGTATGAGTGTGCCTTCATGTTTGTGATGAGAATGCCATACCTTTTGCCTGTACATTTAGAAAACACTATAGTTTGTGTGGGGAAGGGGGAGGGGTCGTATTTTGTGAGAATGCTATACCTTTTGCCTGTACATATTTGAATGCGTCATAGTTCGTATGGGGAAGGGGGAGGGGTCGTATATTGTGAGAATGCTGTGCCTTTTGCCTGTACATATTTGAATGCGTCATAGTTCGTATGGGGAAGGGGGAGGGGTCGTATATTGTGAGAATGCTGTGCCTTTTGCCTGTACATTTAGAATACGCTAAAGTTTGCATGGGGAAGGGAGTGGGGACATGTGTTGTGAAAATGCTATACCTTTTGTCTGTACATTTAGAAAACGCTATGGTTCGTATGGAGAAGGGGGTGGGGACGTATTTTGTGAGAATGCTGTTTCTTTTGCCTGTACATTTAGAATATGTCATAGTTTGTATGGGGAAGGGGGTGGGGACATGTGTTGTGAGAATGCTGTTCCTTTTGCTGTACATATTTGAATGCGTCATAGTTCGTATAGGGAAGGGGGAGGGGTCGTTTATTGTGAGAATGCTGTACATTTAGAATACGCTATAGTTTGCATGGGGCAGGGGGTGGGGACATATTTTGTGAGAATGCTGTTCCTTTTGTCTGTACATTTAGAAAACGCTATTGTTCATATGGAGGAGGGGGTGGGGACGTATTTTGTGAGAATGCTGTATCTTTTGCCTGTACATTTAGAATATGTCATAGTTTGTATGGGGAAGGGGGTGGGGACGTCTGTTGTGAAAATGCTGTGTCTTTTGCTGTACCTTATGATGTGATATTTTCAGTCAAGCTGTTCATCCATGCTTACTTGTGCAGATATTATTATGTTTTGGAATTGTGTGTATGTGTATGGTTGTGGGTGTGCTTTCATCTTTGGAATGAGAATGCTTTGCCTTTTGTTTGAATATTCTCTTTATTGTATTTTTCTAATGCTTTTCAGCCACATATAAAAGTTGTGAATGAATTGGAAAATAGTTTGTGTATATGTGACAGAGAGAGAGAGAGAGAGAGAGTAGGGTAGTGCAGTGTGTGTATGTGGAAGGGGGGGGGTAACAAATTCAGAAGCATAGTTTTTTGGTTCTCCAGCTCTCTGAGGACTAACATGTATTTTTCCATTTGTTCAATTGTATGCTGAACAGAATGTAAAGAAGCATTATGTTTACAGCTAGTAAGACATTGCCCATGAGTATTTTAGTCTGATTAGGATTCTGTGTTTTCTTTGTCTTCTCTAGTGTTTCACTCAGCATCATTGTGCTGCTTTTCAATGTACATCATCTTTATTACATTTATTGAATGCTGTTCAGTAGCACATGAAAGTACCGCATTTATAGTATTAAGGTGGGGAGGGGGCATCGTATTAATTTTCATCGTGGATGGAGGGAGCGAAGCACAGCACGATTCCATTTGATGGGATAGCAGTGCAGGAGGCTAGGAGTGAGGAGAAGAAGAAGCTGGACTTCCACACAATGGCAGTCTCTTGTGGATACACTCAGTGTCAGGTAGGACGAAATGTTGTGTTGTTGTTGATCATGTTGTAGTTGTTCTTCTTTTTTTGTTTTTGTTGTTGTTGTTGTTGTACTTCTTCTTCTTCTCTTCTTTTTCTTCTTCTCCTTTTCTTCTTCTTCTTCTTTTTCTTCTTCTTCTTCTTCTTCTTTTTCTTCAAATGCTAGATCTATATCTGAAACGTGAAGTTTATTATTTTGGTGGGACAAAAAATTTTCTGTTAGGTCATAATACTTATTCTCTTTTTATGGTGGCATAAATACAATCAATGTACCGTACTAAATGACATTTTATATGTAGAAGTCCTTCTCTTTACTCAAACAGACACACACACAATCCTCAACTTCTTGCCTCTGTGTCTTGACATTCCACGAGGGAAAGCCAAGAAGAAAAAGCTGGACAAGAAGAAACTGACTTCTTTTCTTTCCCTACTGTTGTTTCTGTCTGTCCATGTGGCTGGCTTTTTTTTTTCTTGCACTAGATGACCAGTATTGTGTCCACCATGTGTAACTTTTTGTACTATATACTATGTACTATACTGAGGTATGTCATCTGTGGTATAGCTAGTGGTAGGTGCCATGTTATCACCTGCAGAAGATGTCAGTTCTATTACCTTGTGGGGAAATTAAAAATGTTATTGGATATCTCAATCTTTGTACTGGGACATTGTATCGCTCTGAGACCCAGGTGAGTGGATGGTTGGCGGGTGCTCTGGTGTGGTTTGCTTCTTCTTTCCTATCAGACGTCTATCGTCCTTATCTCCCCTCCTTCTGTTTTATGTTTGTTACTCTCTTGTAACTCCTCTAATCCTCTGGCGCTTATATGACCTTATGCAGTTGCGAGCGCCGTAAAACCTCTACTAAAACTAACAAACTGGGACATTGTATCACTCTGAGACCAGGTGAGCCCTGAGAGGCAAAGTCAAAGCAGCCTGCCTCCTAAATGGACTAAATTGTGTTGATTGTAGCGGGAAAATGTATACAGCAAAAAAAGACTGCCTGTTTCTTATGACCTTATGCAGTTGCGAGCGCCTTAATACACCTACTACTAATGGGTGGTTGGTGGGTGCTCTGGTGTGGTTTGCTTCTTCTTTCCTATCAAACATCTATCGTCCTTATCCCCCCCTTCTTCTTTTTTATGTTTGTTACTCTCTTGTAACAACTCTAACCTTCTGGCGCTCATATGACCTTATGCAGTTGTGAGCGCCGTAAAACCCTCTACTAAAACTAAAATACCTCTACTAAAACTAAACTGCTTCTAAAATTGTGTTGTTGTTGTTATCTCGTCAGGTGGGAGTTGATCTGAACAAGACTGGTCTGGTCTGGTGACAGAGTGAATGAAGCAGAGGGTACATCCTTTTGACGAGACCACAGTGGCGGAGGCTGAGTGCTGAGAAAGCTGGCCTTCGTTCGAGACGGTGGCTGTCTCTTGTCTTTACTTGTGGACTCACTAAGTCTCAGGTAGGATTAAATAAATAGTGTAATGTTGTTGTAGTTTTTTCTTCTTCTTCTCCTTTTCCTCCTTCTCCTCCTCCTGTTTCTTCTTCTTCTTCTTCTTCTTCTTCTTCTTCTTCTTCTTCTTCTTCTTCTTCACTTTGATGATCATGGTTTTCCAAAATAGACAATAAACTTCTCATCATGCCCAAACTGGGTCCACAAAAACATTCGGGCCTTTCCAGAAGAGACAAAGTCATTTTTACTCTATTGCGTATTGGACACACCTGCCTGACACGTTAATACCTCCTGCAGGGAGATGAGAAACTGTTTTGTGTCAGATGTGACACAGATTTCACCATTTGACACATCTTAACAGAATGTCCAGAATTTGTAAAGACCCAAAGGAAGTATTTTAAATGCAAGAAATTGCAAGATCTATTCTGCCGTTGATCCGAGCTGAATTCTTGATTTTTTAAAGGCCATTGATCGTTACAATAAATTGTGAATACCATTATTTTAATCTTAAGTAAATTGTCATTTTTTTAGATCGATATTTTACCACAATTTTTTTTACAATTTAATCGAATCATTGACCTAAACCAAGCCGTGCTGTGAACTATTGTGAATGCAACCAACTTGTGTTTTGTACGGTCATATAACCTTATACAGTTGAAAGCGCTGTAAAACTCTTACTAAACTAACAATTTTTTTCCACTCATTTCACAGCTGTGATGCTCTATAAAAACGACATTAACCTAGTCTTTCCCGTCGCTCATCTGTTCAAATTCACTTTTTAAAAAAAGTTTTTCTCAGTGACGCATGATCGCCTATATCTGTTTCAGATCTGGAACATGATGAAGAAGCAGCTGCAGACCATGTTTTCATCTAACGTGGAGACTGCCAACGGTGATTTGATGGTGGCCTTGAAACATGGAGGTCAAGACGCCCACTGTTCTGACAGCTGATCTACGCTTGATTCAGCCTTGCTGTGCTACCCTTCCAAACATTATGGTGAGCTTTCATGTCAGATATATTAGACTTCTTGCCCTTTTTAATGATCTTATACACTTGCCACCGTCGTAAAACTACAAAACTAACTAAATCCCCTTGTGAAGGTATGGGGGGTTTGAAGGTGCCATTGGGAGGTCGGTTTTTTGGGGGGGGGGTTTTCTTTCTTTAATATTGTCTGTACTTAGTGACTACAATGATGTTGATTTCTGGATTGGAAAGTTTGGGTTGTTTTTTTTTAATTTAAACAAAATATCTCTATCTATCCATCGGGATGTTGTACCCCACTCATCCTGCTGTCTTAAATGATCTAGATTCTAAATTGCGTTGATGTAGGCTAAATGATGTAAAATATGACGAAGTGAGCATAAAAAATACATTTGCTATCAGTCACCACTTAATGTTCAAGCTTTGATCATTCAACACGCTGCGAACATACAGATTGTTCAATTCTGTTGGTATTTTTTTCTTTTAAAACTCATAAAGGCAACAGCATACATCCTATAAAATGTGTAAACTTGTGTTGTTAGTGTTGTTACTGATTTGTAAATGTATATGATGGTTCAAAATGTACAGCAAAACTTGTGTTACTGATTTGTATATTGATAGTTAAAAATGTACAGCAACAACTTATGCAGTTGCAAGTGCCATAAAACTCATACTAAAACAAACAATGTACAGCAACGTTGCTCTTCTTAGTCTGCTGCTGATCGGACATGTGTATCCTCTTCATCATAACAGAGTCGAAGAAAAGGATTTTGCTTTGTTTTTTGTATTTTTTTTCTTTTCTGTTTTTTTTCTTTTTCTTATTGAGTCATTATTTCTCAGATTGTTTATTCCATATTACAAGACTCACACTTTTGTTGTTTTTTGGGGTTTTAAAAAAAATGTTTATTTGTTTGTTTTTGTTTGGGTGTTTTTCGTCTAGGGGGAAATAAATTATAATATAATCCTTATAGTTTTAGTGAGGTTTTCTGTCCAAGTTTTAAACTAAATTATCAGGAAAAGAAATAAACTTGGCACCATTCAGAATTCGTGGCTCTTCGCTTACATCAATAACTATTTTTATGTCAATGTACAAGAGCAAAAGAGCTCAGTGACCTTCATTTTGTTGATGTACTTCTCTTTACACAAATTGGAACTTAAAGACTGTTGCTGTTTGGTTGTGCTTCACTTTCCTCCAACTCAAAGTAAATGGAATGATCTCTATTGTGTCCATGTGCTTCTTTTTACTTGAAGAAAAAAAAAAACAACAACAAACAAACAAATTGTGTTTTCCCATCAGCATTGTTTCTCTAATGCGCTACTGTATGTTGTTTGTGCGTTCAACAGATATGTCTATGGCCCCCTGCTGTTGCTGTTACTACCTGGACTGTGCTGGAGGAATGGGACGTCCCACTGTTGTGGTGGCTGTGAACACGAAGACAGGAGATGAACTCCCCAACCACTGGGTCAAAAGGAGAATGCTCATGAGTTTGGACTACTCGTCATCATCATCCGGTGCCTTGCCGACTGCTGTGGGCGATCATGGACCTCCACTTCACTCTGTCTTGCGTTGCAGCGATGGTGTCTGTTATTCTTGCTGCTCCCAGCCATGTTGTCATCTTGTCCAGTATCTTTTCCCTCTGTCTGCCTCTGTCCCTCTTTCCATCAAACTTGCCTGTTGTTACAATATTCTCCAATGCTTCTTTCCGCATTGTGTGTCCAATGAAATTTGCCTGTCGCTTTCGTATATATTCGTCTTAAGCTGTCGTCTGCAATTTGCTTCAACCAAGACTTCTTCATTTGGTTTTCTAGCTGTCCATGGGATACGCAGCATGCGCTTTATGAACCACAACTCTGTCGCCTCAATTGTTCTTTTCAGCTGTTTATTGATTTCCATGCTTCTCACCTGTGTGATAGGATTGGCTCTATGTAACTTTTCAGTACTCTTTTTTTTTAGACAACTAGTAGACCAAAAATAAACCATCCAGTGAGGAAAACATAGGTCTTCCAACAAGAGCCGATGAGCAAGGAACATTTTTTGGCCTTAACAAGACAGTTTATTTGATGTGCTATAATATTTTCCTTGTCATGACTTGATTGACAATGATGTCTGGAATTTTGTTCATTCAAAGGTAAATTTTCGTATAACATTTTAGAGCCTACTGCTGTCCTTTGTATTGATGATGTAATAACTTATGATGACTGACTGAGACTGAGTGACAGACATTGGTGATGACATCGGTGTTGTGTAGGAGATGAACAGTGAGTAGCTGACGATGGGAAAACATAGCTCTTCTTCTGTCTTAATTTACTGCTTGTGTGGTGTTCCTCTGTGTGTAGACTTAAGATCCACGTGTGTGTGTGTGTTCGTGTGCATGTTAGCTGATGTGTGTGCATGTCACAGGATGTGTATGACATAGAGAGTGTGTGTGTGTGTTTGTTTGTTAGCTGATGTGTGTGCATGTCACAGGGTGTGTATGAGAGAGAGAGTGTGTGTGTTTGTGTGCATAAGTGTGAAGGTTACATGATGTATGTACATGTCACAAGATGTGAGTGTGTGTTGTGTATGTGTGCTTGGGTGTATATGTGATTTGGAGGTATGTTTTCAATGAAAATGTTAACGGTCACAGATCGTATTTGTTGATTTTGGTGCTATGTTGGTGGTGTCATATATATACAAAGGTTTCCAGTATATTGAGAAATTGACTGAAATAAAATTTGAGCATAATTCTCATTGTTTTTGTTTTGCTGCTTGTTTGTTTTATTGTTGTAGACTTAACGGAGTTGTAGCTCACAACTGGATTTCTCTTTAACGATTCACGACCTCGGTGCTTTCTTGTCGTATCTCCATTTTTTAAAACAGTGAAAATGTGACTTCTTCTTAAGCTCACTCTTTGTAATGAACTGTTTTCAATGTTATTAAAAATTGAGATACGACAAGAAAGCCCAGTAGAATTATAATTGTAAAAAATGGGCTGATTCATCAATGTCACGCTCATAACTGCCTGGCCTGCAACAGGGAACTGCTGCTTTTTCTTTCCTAATCCTTACTATATGTATCGTCATTTTCCCTCTACTTCTTTTGTGTGTTTGTCACACTCTTGTGATCCGCTTTTTCCGGGGTGCCTTGATAGTCGAAGCAGACTTTGTGCTGTTGCAGCTAGAGAGGTGATCAGAGTAAGTTTAATTCCTTGAAAAGACTTTTCTGTTGATATCCACCCCTTGGCGCTCAAATGACCTTATGCAGTTGCGAGCGTCGTAAAACCTCTACTAAACGAACAAACATGTGTATAGCTGTAGAGAGATAGGGCCCGATACAGCGACTGATGATCTCCAAGCCAGAGTCCAGTCTGCGGAGCTTTCAGTTTCAGTTCAGCTGTCAGCAGCCCAGGTAGCTGTTAAAGTTTTAAGTGTTTGTGTCCTATTCAGCCTGGATTGGTCCTGCCACCCAGGGCTGGCTCCTGGTATTCTCTAAAATGTGTCGATAGAGGTGTTAAATGTTATTTTGTTATGCTGTTAAAAAATTACAGCCCTTGATCAACTGGCGTTACGCTGTACCCAAGAGCCTAGGAGGTCCCTCTGACCCCTGAGGCACCGACCTTTCAGGTGCCGCACTCTGATAAAATTGGGATTCTCCCCTCTGCCTCTTCTTCTTCCCCTCTATCTTCTTTATACATACATTATGTATACATGTATATCTTTTCTTTTACCAAAGTGGGTGGTTGGCGGGTGCTCTGGTGTGGTTTGCTTCTTCTTTCCAATCGAACACCTATCGTCCTTATCTCCCCTTCTTCTTTTTTAAAATGTTTGTTACTCTCTTGTAACACCTCTAATCTTCTGGCGCTCATATGACCTCATGCAGTTGCGAGAGCCGGAAAACCTCTACTAAAACAATCTTCTACCTAACGCCCTATGATAAAGTGTGAGCTACACTCTTCACCTTCTACCCTTCCCAGCCCCTCCCGTTTTCTCCACCATCCCATCAAAGGCGGCAGCCCCGTAAATCCACATATCCTGTTCTTGGGTATGTAAGATTTAACACCTAGCCTTCTTGGATATGGGCGAAAAAAAATTCAGAATTCCCGAGTGCAAGTGCAAGTTGTGCATATTAAAAAATCCCTTGATGTTCATAAAATCGATACGAATAGATTGGCTTCGACCGCCATCCGGGCAAAATTAAAAACATATTCCAGACAAAACTGAAAATGCTTAATTATAAGTTATTGTGTCCCTCGCGCTCAGATGACCTTATGCAATTGTAAGCGCCGTAAAACACTTCCCAAAACATCATACAATGTACGACATGTACTCATTTATTGTCTCCATGTAGTCAATGACATTGTCAAGGCATAGAAAGGCTACAATAACCTCGGACTTTCATTTTGTCTCTGAAAAAAATTCACACTTGAATGGGGGGCTCTCGTGTCCAAGAGGATAATTAAGTTGTTCGTCTTTCATTCAATAGGTCCCGGGTTCGAATCCGGATGGCAACGGACATTTTTCTTCTCTAAAAGTGTCTCCTTTTACCTCCTTTCCTGCTCTCTCTAGCAATGTTCTGTCGTCTGCTTTCGTCTCCACTTTCTGCTCCCACCCTGTCACCTCCTTTGCCCCCCTCTTCTGGGCTCCCGACTTTTTCTGCAGCAGCCTTTCTACTGCTTCTCCTTGGATCCTTTTTACTTCTGTCTTTCAGCCACACCCCTGATCTTATGGCAGGAAAGATCTACACCAAGCCTTTTTGGCCAAGGGCGAAGAATATCGGAGGTCCTTTGTGAAAGTTGCGCATGTTAATTGCAGATTCATTGGTGGTACCAAATCGATAGGAGTAGGCTTCGGCCATCACCCCAGCAAAACACCAAATTTCCTACCAACTGAAATTTGTTAAAGTATCCCGCGCGTTCATATGACCTTGTGCAGTTGTGAGTGCCGTAAAACACTTACAAAAACAAACACAAAACCCCTAAAAACAATACACCCCCCCCCAACAACAATAAAACAAAAAACAAAAACAACAATTGAATGAAAATGGTGCTTGTATTTCAATGGATCTTTTGTGTGCTACACTAACTACAAAAGGCCAATTTCAGAGGTATATTTACAAAATACATATATAACCTTACATACGGGCGCTAGGCCCTTTACTATAAATATGCCTGTTATAGGCTAATGTATTTTTTGTAAGGCTGTATATAGGAAATTTATTTTTGTTAAGCGTTTTATGACGCTCGCAACTACATTTTTAAAAAAGGGGGGAGGGGGGGTGTCAAGTTGGCTGTATCCGCATTAAGCATTTTCGGTTTGGTTGGAATTAACTTTGAATTTCGCTCGGGTGGCGGCCCCATCGATTTTAGGACCACGTTGTATCTTCAACGTGCGCAACTAGCAAACGAGACCTCCGAGATTTTTTCCCCACCATTATCCGAGAACGTACGGGTGCTCGATTTTTATCTACTCTAAGATCAGGGGTATGGCTGAAAGACAATACATGTACTGCCGTACGCTGACAAAACGCCTTTTTCTTATTCACTGCAGTTTTCAGATAGCACTTTTTGTTGTTGCTTATAATATCTAAACTATTTTGTCCCGTACATCAACGGTTGATCTCACACCATAAAGAGAAATGCTTTTGCCTGTGCTCGAGAGATATTATAAGAAAACAGAAAACCATTGAGTTCTCGAAACTGCTGTGAATAAGAAAAAGGCGTTTGTCTGAGTATCTGAGTACGGCAGAACAGTAAGAAGGAACTAGTCTAGAAATAAGAAATACATGTACATGTAGCATGTAGCATGTAGCAGAGTCGGGAGCCCAGATGGTAGGGGGGTGGGGGTGGTAGGGGGGTTGGGGGGGGGAGGAGTGGAGCAGAAGTGGAGATGAAGGCAGATGAAAGAACATGATTAGAGAGCAGGAAAGAAGGTGAAAGTTGAACATTTTAGAGACTAAATTTTTCCGTCCCTGTCAGGTACAGGCTATATAAAAAACATATATATGTATATAATAAAATAAAAACGATGTGCTCGTTAATTACATAGGCCTGCCTATACAGGCCCTCTGACACTAAGGATTGCCCCATATGACCTTTCAGTGTCGCGAAACGTACTGGTCTGTTGTTTAGAGAAGCGTATAGGCCTATTTGCTAGCAGAAGAATGATTCTTCAGTTATATACTGCACAAGTGCCCAAACCCTAGCTGTTCCCACTTGTTCTTGTTGCTGCTTTGTTGTTGTTGTTGTTGTTCTTTTTCTTCTTGTAATTTTTCTTCCTTGTTGTTGTTGTTGTTGTTTTTCTTGTTGTTTTTCTTCTTGGTCTTCTTCTTGTTCTCTGTGAAAGAGAGTCTTTAATTGCTCTTTTCCCCAGAAGGGTTTTCTGTTTTTTTTTCGTTCCGTTTCATCACCCCCCCTCGAGATCCCATCTTATTTTTACAATAGCTCGGTAATATTCTTTGACATGCGCAGTTTGATCTTATTTTCCAAAATGGTGGAAAACTGTACAATTCAGTTGCCTGCTACCGTAATATGTTTACCTTTTTGACAACTATGGTTTTATGGTGGTAAGTTTTTGGAAATTTGTGCTTGCTATGTACCATATTTATCTTTCCCCTCTTTTTGCTATCGAAAAGAAGTGTTAAACATCTTTAGTTGAATTAATTTGAACTGAATACGGCAACTGAAGTCTGTCCCTGCTGTCCCGTCGCCCGTGTTGCTGTAGTGAGTGGTGCCACTGTAACGTCTAACTTGACTTTTTGTTAGTCTACGTTAGTATGTAGCCGTTGACACCCCAACCCCAGCTTCTCCCGTTTGATTTAATGTATCCAAGTGGATATTGCTATTATGAATTTTGTTCTGCATTCTCACGAAGCTTTCTCTCTCGCCAACAGTAGGCAGCCTACTTTATATACACAGTAGGCTTATAAAGTAGATTAAAAATTCTATATCTAGATCTAGATCTAGGATCTAGAGGAAGGACTTCCGTAACAAGCGATCGCCCCAACAAACACAATAAAGAAGAGACCTACCCCTACCCCTAACCTTATCCGTAACCCTACCCCTACCCCTACCCCTAACCCCAATCCTAATAATCCTACCCCTACTAGGCCTACCCCTAGACCTAACCCTATCCCTAGCCTTCTATTCTTCTACTCTTTAACTCATAGTGGTGGCTCGTTACGGAAGTCCTCCCGATTTAGATATCTAGATCTAATTAAAGGCTTTAAAAATTTTGATTAAGTCGCAGCTTAGGTTAGGTACAGTCAGGCAGCATATTTCTAGATTCCAACGTTTTATTCACTTTTATAGTGGAATGGGGTATAATAGTCTAGATCTATTGCCACATTTGAATAATTTTATTGTTTGGTGAAATACGATGGGGCAGTGAATATAAGTAAGGCGTATGTCCCTCCTGAAACTTCCCACGGATATTAGCTCAGGGGTGCATGTCTCCCTTAAACCCAGCAGAATATATTTTAAAAACTAGATCTAGACCAAGGCAAAAACAGTGGTTGTATGAAAATGTGGTAGTTAAATCATACTTAATATTTCCAAATTGTGTGTTGAGCTGTATAACGATCAGATACAAAAATTTCAGAAGGAGCTATTCTTTGATTGTTTAGGCAATCAGTTGTCTCATTTGTATTTTAAGAGTAAAAGTACTGGAATTTTTTTGGCAATTTATTGTAACAGAGAAGAAAGGAATGTGAATTGTATGGTCCCAGAGTTATTACAGCATTAGAGTGTATTTGATTTTTAATTTTTTTTTTTCAGTGTTGTAATGTTCAGTGTATGTTGAAGACAATGCACTGTGATGTTTAAAATTGTAAAAAGAGGACAGTCAGTTACAGAGCAAGGTGTATTCTTGACTTTTCTTTCTATTTTTTTCAATATATATGTAGAAAATTGTGTGTAACAGAATCTGGAGCTCTTCACAAAAGTGAGGAACTAAAAACTGAGCATCATGTGGCCAATGCTACTGGACTACACCAAAGATGAATGCAAGCGAATCTTGCGGCGTCTTGAACTGGAAGCCTATGCATCCATCATTTCTGTGTTCAGAGCACAGGGCGATCTCAGCAAAGACAAGAAGCAGTTACTACAGGAACTTCAGCAAACTCTGAGGTATGAGGCTCCTAATTTTGATTAATAAAAGTAACTGATAATTTTATCATTGCACTTTAAGTAAGAAAATAGGTAAATTTTTATTTCCTTGGTATATTTATGCAGCAGCTGAATATTATTTATTTTAAAGTAAAAATATAGATTTGCTTTATTGTGATAACTATTTTGTCACACTTGTGAGTGAGGGTGACTGCCAGATGGTAGGGGGTTGCAGGAATGTGTCAGGAATGTAAAAAAAAAATTGTTGAGTCCTGGGTAAAACTCAGAATTTTCGAGGATTGTGTACATTCACCCGCAAAAAACCTGGTGAAAAAATTTGTTTTTCAAACTTCAAAAGCGTTATGCTTCTTTAGGTGATCAAGCTCTCATCTTGTTGGCATTTTGGGACATTTCTGTATCTTAACCCTTTGCAGTCACATAGCCAGCAGTACAAAATACCCCATCTAGTCACCCAGCCAGGAGATTGACTGCAACAGACTTCTCAGCCCGGGTGCAGGACCAGAACAGATAATTTTCGCTGCCGCATTATTCTGCCAATTGACGTCAAAATGTTAGGTTGGTTAAAATAAAGCTATTGATATATATATAATATATATATATATATATATATATATATATATATATATATATATATATATATATATATATATATATTGTGGTACTACTTAATTTTGTGTTATTGATTTCAGTATCTCGACTGAAAGGCACAGGGCTGAAGTTCGAAGAGCAATCAATGATGAGAAACTTGCTACTATTGCAGACAAGTAAGTAAACAGATGTTGTTGGAATATTTCAAAGAAAATTTGTGTGGCATCGTGGTGAAATCAATAAAGTTTGGACTTTGGTCAGAACAATTTGTTCTAAAATTCTTCACCCATATATGTAAAAAATATTGTTGACACTGAAAAGGCCCGTTGAGTTGAAGTCTAATGTCAATGGCCAGAAGCTCAGGTGGACGCTACAAGTTAAAGGCTACACTATAGCTTTAGTGGGGAAGAAAAAAGCTACATGATGGAAATGTTAGAGCCGTTTATGTGTCTGATATTTAAAAGAAGGTGTGTGCTTGGAGAAGAACTTTTATGTTGTTTGGATATGTCGTGTTTTGTCAAACAAAAGATCGACAGCTTTTGTTGTTTTTTTGTAAAAAAAAAAAAAAAAGGTCTCTTACTGCAGTTCTTTAACTCTTTAAGCCCTGAGTTTTTTCCACTGTTTCGCTGAGTTTTTTCTACAGTCATCTAAACCTTGTGCACTATGTCTCATTATAACCCCAAAAGCTTGCCTCCAACTTCCAAATTGCGGAAACAAAGGCTTAGTCATTACTAAAAAACTTATTTCTGGAATAGTTCCGAAAAACAAGCAAAAGCTAAGCTAGCACTATATAAAACGAAACAGTTGTCACTAGTACTGGACGCTCCTAGTGTCCGATGGGGAACAGGGTTATTACCACCGGACGCTGATGGAGTTCAAAGATTTAAAGAGGCAAAAATCGCTTTTTGTAAAAAAAAGAAGTTACCGCTTGAATGTTCCTGACCTTTCTCGATTCAGTGGTTCTAGTTTTTACCAGACTTTGAAAATGACGTGTGCTGAGTTTTGGCGTCAATTTGTTCCTCTATATAGTAGGCATACAACTATCTATGTCAGTATTTGTCGTGTTTCAGTATTGCAGGTTGTATGAGCACAGCAGAATGGATGGTAGAAGGACGTCGCCTCGTGCCTCTCATGCCCAGACTGGTGCCTCAGACAGCGTTCACAGCCACGGCCAATCAGGCCGCCAGCGCAATGATGGAGAAGAACGCTTCTCTCCCTCCTCCTTCTCAGACATGGAACAAAGATGGTAGCTATCATTTTGTTACTGCTCATTTGTATTGTCAGATTTGACATTGAACAAAGATGGTAGCTGTCATTGAGTGGGTGGTTGGCGGGTGCTCTGGTGGGGTCTGCCTCTTCTTTCCTATCAAACATCTATCATCTTTATCTCCCAACCTTCTTTTTTGTGTTTGTTACTCTCTTGTGACTCCTCTAATCTTCTGGTGCTCACATGACCTTATGCAGTTGCGAGTGCCGTACAACCTCTACTAAAGCTAAAGATTTGACATGGAACAAAGATGGAAGCTATCATCTGTTACTGCTCATTTGTATTGTCAGATTGGAAAAACTTGTCGCAATTGTTTGCATGCTTTAGTGTTTTGACTGATTTGTTTCTTTATTCGTTGATGTTTTTCAATCCCTTGAAATTATCATGAAAAGAAAGCCATTCATAAATGTTACTTTTTATAGCTGTTTATTGTACTTTAAAATTGCAAATTTCTGCAGTGCATATACCTAGATGTTGGCACTTTCAATTAGATTTGATTCCCTTCAGGAACTTCTTTAGCTGTTCTCAGAAGGGGGAATCAGTCAAAGTTCACAACTTTACTAAATAATTGTCAACGATTCTGGAGAGTGCTGTGTTTATCTTGTATGTTTTTATTGCATCATGATGCGTTCATGAGTCTTTTACAGAGCTGGGTAATGAATACCGAACCAAATAGATTCTTAATGGGCATTAAAGTTCAATAAATGATATAATAGTGCAAACATTGGGTGCTATTGCCACATTTGACTGATCAGGTGACATGGGAATTGGTCACTGACTGACTGACATGGAAGTTTTACAGCGTTGCCAACAATTCGTTCTGGAGTGAGTTCTTCTGGAATGCATTTTATTTTGATAAAGTAAGATCATCCTAGTGGTATTCTATACTTCTGACAATTGTGATGGTAAGTTGACAGTTAATCGCATGTTTTTAAAATTTTCACAGGACCAACCGCAGTGTTGCCTAAGCCAACACGGTCTTCCAGCCCCTCATCAAATGTTGTTGTACTGCCCAGTGGAACTTCAATTCACATAAAAGGTTGGTTCTTTCTTTTTTCTGCAGTGCATGAAGAATATTGAAGTGTTACTCTTTAGATATTACTTTTTTATGCTTTATGAAGTCCTATTGAATCCCCCCCCCCCCCCC